TGTTTAATGGCACTCAGCGGGTGTTGCAGTGCATCAGTCCAAAAGAAGTGAAATAAAAGCGCCCATCCATAAAAAAAAAAGTGTCTCACACGGCTCCGGGGGGTGAACAAAGGCCTTCTGTAGCGAATTGATGCGTTTTTGTAAGAAAAATATCAATATTCAAAACGTAATAATCACTTTAATCTAGCTTGCGTTCACTGTTTTAAACGGAAGCAGTTCCAGGCGGATGACGTATGAGGTCAGCATTGCGCATGCGCTGCTCAGGCACACGGCATGCGGAAGTGCAGCGGAGAGATCAAAGATAGAGCTTGAAAGATCAAAGACAATTGTTAATATAACTCCGACTGGATTCGTCTGAAAGAAGAAAGTCAAATATACACCTAGGATGCCTCGGGGGTGAGTAAAACGCAGAATAATTTTCATTTTTGGGTGAACTAACCCTTTAATAGTGAGAACTGGTCCCTGTACTATTGGTAACACTTTAGTATAGGGACCAATTCTCACTATATAGTTGCTTATTACCATGCCTATTATTAACATATTGGCTGTTTGTTAGTACTTATAAAGCACATATTCTGCATGACAGTATTCAACATCCCTAATCCTACCCAATACCTAAACTTAACAACTGCCTTACTAACTATAAACAAGCAGCACATTAGGAGTTTATTGAGGCAAAAGTCGTGTTAATGATTTGTTTATAGCGAGAATTGGACCTTAAAATAAACTGTGACCTCATATACTGTATGATCTCTGGGCAAACAGATTTCAGATCAGCTTTTGTTTAGAATATGTTTGGCTCTGGTCATTACTGTACCTTTAACTATGGTTTAAAATGGATTTCAGGAGGGAGCGATGCTGAAAGTTTTGTCAACACCACTGCTGTGAGCTAAGAGTGTAAAAACCAGCCTCAGTGTTGAATATTCGCTTCGACTTTTAGAGAAGGTGGCTGTTCTGTGTATGTTTGTGTGAGAAATACACAATGTAGGTGTTATTACAGCTGAAAATGTGATAGACGCGTGTTAGAGCAGCACTTCCAATGTGGAAGTCTAATCATCTCCTCGTCTCTGCATTTTGTGTCTTTGTCATTCATTCTTCTAAGGCACCACATCTGCGTGGATTAAATCAAAGTCTCACACCAGAATAAGTTTTAAACTTTGTCCAGTACTATTCTGGGAGTCAATGTAGTAAAATCAAGTATTTAGGGAGCTCTAAAACATACGTCTATCAGTGTTTAATCAAGAATATTTAATTAGTTGTGCAAATTCAGGTGACATTGTTTAATCACACTGATTCATTCAAAAATGAAACACAACTACTGTGTGTTGCTCTGAGATACATGGACATTAAAAGGATCATCATTTACTCTTGATTTTTTGATTTACATTGATTTTTGGATGAAGTCAGATGTTTTGAAGTCAAAGTCAGTTCTGGTAAAATGCCATAATAGATGGTATCATCCAAAATTATGGTGTGATCAGCTGAGTTTAGTGTAGTTGCATTATTTAAGATTTCTTGCCCCTCAGATTGAAGAGTTAAATGTCACCCATGGCTGTTGGCATGTAAGAAGTAAATAGGACTAAACACCGAACCTTGTGGGACCCCTGATAAATATGTGACTTGAGACATGAAATGTGAGGGTTAAAGCTGACGGTTAGTTATGTAAATTAAAAAAATGTTGATGAATAATCTTTAAAATTTAATTACTATCTTGTGTTATATTTAAACATGTCAGCACCACATTCACAACGTTTTACATTCAAATCTCCCTAATTTAGGGTGACTATCAAAGTGTACACAGATGGTCTAGCACCTGTTTCCCTGCATTTGAGAGGTTATTGCTTTTGCCATAGCTGTACAGTGACAGGTTTACAACCTTTATTTCCTCTGATTTGGGGATACACATTACAGGCTTTGGTAGTTCCTTTAATAGCAATGCTAAATCAGACAACTTACATTTTATTGTAAGGTTGTAGATGGAACGATGCTGATGATAATACTCAGGAAAAAATACCTGAACAGTGAAGATAGCATGAAGCGTACGGTATATCAGCACTTTCAGACGAAGCCTTTATTATCTGTGGGAATATCCTTCAAATCATAATGCACAAGCATGATGCTGAGTGCTTGCAGTATGAGATATGCATGTAGCTGAGCTGAAGGACTAGTTTGATAAATGGCTATGTGTGTTAGCATGAGTGTGCAGCATATCTCTGTGTTTATACATTTCTCATCATGGTCTGACCAGGATAATATTTATTAATTGACTTGAATTTGGATTTGGTCATCACAAAATAAACTGTTAAAATAAGCCTTCCATTTACATCATTATATATAATCTGAATTATTACAAACCATCCAAAATGTACATGTCTAGTATTCACATATCAAGAGTTAGAATTCTCTGTTATGATTTGATCACAGGAATAAATTGCATTTTAACATATATTCACATAGAAAACATCTATACTAAATAGTAATACTATTTCAAAATATTAATGTTTTTACTGTATTATTGAGCATATAAATGCAGCCTTGGTGAGCATAAGAGACTTTATTAAAAACCTATATAAAGTCTTAATGTTTCCAAACTTTTGACAAGTACTGTATATAGTCACATATATTGAAGGTTTGGTTATAATTTAAGTGTCCAAGTCCTATAGGTCTTACTTCACAAAAATTGTGAATATTGCTCAAATACTGTGGCTACTACAATAAGTTACCAAATGTAAATGAGTCAGTACAGTAAGTGTGAATCATAGAGGAATATTAAAGTTGAGCCATTTCCTCAGTGTTAACACATTCTATCTTGGCTTACTAATAAAGAGAGAAAGTTATACTGTGAATCATTTAGAGGTTGACTTAAGTCAGTGTTCAAGAAACCTGTTTAAAAATGATTATTATTATTTTGCAATTTTATAATTTTTTATTTTGCAATTCTGTATGCTGTCACGAGTTGTGCATAAATTACACAGTTCCCCTTAACTTTGAGCACATAAGCATGTAACTTTATCAGAGTCAAAGAAGGACACGCAATAAAATACTAATAAAAAACAACAGTGAGAAATCAAACATATTTTCTGTCTTTGTGTTAGTGGGTGTGTTTTTTCAGCTCTTTGTCAAATTGTTTTTTATCTCATGTTATAAACCCCGTCCTCATCTTCAAATCTGAAAATCAATACCTTATTACTTCTATCTCCACTGCCCCTCTGCACAAACTCAGGAATAAAGCAGAAGACCTCAACAATGTATCAACAATTATCTTTAAATATCTGTCTTCCTCGAGTGAAGAACATTGGGTCGAATTCAGATACACTCAATCTAGCCCAAGACGGATAATATTCCAAGATTCTTCAAAAATGTTAGATTAGATTTTTCTGCTAGAATAATGTGAGCAGCAACACAAATCATCCATCTAACTGTCCTGTTCCTCTGCTTTTCACAGCTACCTAACTAGCTATACCAGTCCTGCTGGTAAACAACTAAAGAAACATACAGAAGCAGCCTTTTTGGAGGCTATTGCTCCAGTATCCATAAAGTTTGAGAGACGTGTAAGTTTTAGTGATTAGTTCTGAGTAAACACAGTTGCCAACTTCAGCAGAGAAAATAAAGTATACTAAACAGGAACACTGAGAATTTTTTTGTCATATCAGTGTGTTTTGCTTGACTGAATTAAATGCTAAAATGAATCTGAGACAAAAGTGCTTTGTCTTTAGCTTACTGACACGTCTTTTTAAAAGCAATAAATAAATAAAATAAAAAATTATTACATTTAAATGTTGTACTAAAGTGTCACATTAACTCCTGTCTAGGCAAATTATAACACTAGATAATTGTGCACAGACTGTGCACAGTGATGAGGAACAGACAAAGTCATTTTAAGTGCTTTTTTAATTATACTTTTAAAATGATGAATAATTATAATACAATTCAAATGAAAATACCAGCAGCTCGTTTTTCCAGTTCAACAGGGCATCTGTTCTATACATCCATTTCTTGTTTCCACATTTTTCCATTATGAGCAATACGTAGATTTTTCTGGACTTCTCCATCTCCGAATCTTTGTTTAAATATTTCTGTAATCGTTTTTGTTTATAATGTGTACTATTAGTTAAAACCCAGTGAGTTTAGGAAACCAATGAAGTTTAAAAAACAATGTTTGAGTACTGTGGACTTACTGTGAAAAAAAAAAAAGAAAAAAAAGAGAACAGGTCTTGACATTAAATCTAACTTAAAGTGTTAGTTCACCCAAAAATCAAAATTAGGTCTGCGTTTTACTCACCCCCGAGGCATCCTAGGTGTATATGACTTTCTTCTTTCAGATGAATCCAGTCGGAGTTATATTAAAAATTGTCTTTGATCTTTCAAGCTCTTTACAGTTTTTTTCAATTGTTTACACGCAACTTTGAAAACCGGGTTATTTTTTTCACAATATAAGCACAATTATCCAAAGACCACACTCAATTTGCATAATTCCTAGATTGTATGCAAAATGACACACTTCAGTCAAAACATACACACTTCAGTCAAAACATATACACATATTTGTGAAAATGCTATTAGTTTTCATTTAACCAACACAGTCCTCAATGATCAGACACTATTGCAGCCAGTTTCACACTGCTGTGATAAATAAAAAACACATTTGTACAAAAACTAATTTTAGGAAATAGCATGTGCTAGATTTTTGGCCACACATTGTTATGTAAGGGATAATTTAGATGAAAAAAAAAAAAAAAAAAAAAAAA